AATGATATTGAATCAGCAAACATACTTGATTGGTAGAAGGATCTTATTCAATGAGTGATGAATAATGACTGAGTTATATAAAATTTTTTCTAGCAATTTCTATTCAAAATCTAAAATATTTGCATTCAGATGAATGGCTCAGGGAAGATGAAAGTAGAAATTAGTGGCAAATAATCTCTCTTCTATTTGCAACCTGACTTCATACCTTGCATGTAGTCATTAACACAAATGGGCATTTTCAGCCAGTACCAACGAAAAGTGGACATTGATTAGCATTTACTCTGGGAATTAGATAGTAGCTGACTATAAATAATAAGAGGGTTATTTAGGAAGCTTTGTATCTCTTCCTAGAACTGTTTGGTTTAGCACCGGGATATGGTATCAATAGAGTGAACTATTCCTTTGCGAAGATCTCTGAAACTATATCACATAGCAGAATTTTGGCTGTCCTTTCTGGAATAATAATGAAAATAGCCATAAATGGATGGCAACCTGCAACTGTCTAGAAGCTGACAGTGAGCCACCACATCAGAAATATTTTCACGGAAATGTCAGTTGGAATCAGATCTCCTTTCTGATAGGGGCAGCAGAAGTCCTCTCAGGAATGCAGGGAGATGGGTTCATTGGATGGGCAAACGGCACTGAGTGGGTCACAAATGGGAAAGTCTTACCAGCTGATTTCATCCTTTCTAGCTTGGCTATCCTTACCAGCTACCAGAATCACTCAACAGTGGGTCACTGTTTGATTCATTTATGAGGGGGCTGTCTCCACATCCATATGTCACTGGTAAACTAGCTAAAGTGATTACTATTCTTTGGGCACTGATCACTTAGCTACCTGGTTTGCCACCTGCCTAAGCATTTCCTGCTTCCTTAAGGTAGCCAAGTTCGTCCCACTTCTTTTTCACCTGGCTGAAGTGGAGAGAGAACGGAATGGGTCTCGTGCTTTTCCTGGAGCCTTTGTTCTTGTAGTCTGGTAACCTCTTAATGCAGGATGAGTCGTGGTGAGTTGTGGTGGGTTGTGGATGAATACCCTTAAAGTACATGAACTTGGCATTAAGACATAAGGAAAACTTTCTGTCTTAAATGGCGTCTGCTTCCTAACTTGACCTAAGTTATCCCTTTCTCCTGTCCCTGACCCCCTTGCTCCTTTTATTTCCGTTCTTGGTGAGACACCAAGAATTTGCAGCTCAACCTGATGGGCTTGAGGGACTCCAGCAGAGGTCTGTCAAAGGGGCATGAAAATGGTGACAATCTTCTTCCTCCTCTTCATCATTTACTTATTCCCACTCGAACAGCAAGTTGGATCTTTCTCAAGGTGCATAGATATCAATCAGGCCAAGACGTTTGTCGTGGTGATTTCAACTATCTTTCCCTCAGGCCGCTCATTCTGATTCAGGGAAACAGTAAGCTGAGACAGATACCTGAGACTACTGTGGCTTCTTAAATTCTCTCTGAGAAAACGAATACATTTAGCTTTATTTATTTATTTATTTATTTATTTTTTTACATTTTTTTTCAACGTTTTTATTTATTTTTGGGACAGAGAGAGACAGAGCATGAACGGGGGAGGGGCAGAGAGAGAGGGAGACACAGAATCGGAAACAGGCTCCAGGCTCCGAGCCATCAGCCCAGAGCCTGACGCGGGGCTCGAACTCACGGACCGCGAGATCGAGATCGTGACCTGGCGAGATCGAGATCGTGACCTGGCTGAAGCCGGACGCCTAACCGACTGCGCCACCCAGGCGCCCCTACATTTAGCTTTATAGATAAGATTGAAAGCAGTTTCTGTATTCTAAGAGAAAATACCTTCACAGAAAGACCTAGTAGGTTCATTCTGAATTTCAACATTTCTTTGATCAGGTCCCTTCAGATGTGAAAAAGCACTGAAGTTTCCCTTACACCATGCTCTTACCTAATCCTATTTTCTCAAAGTGATCTGATAGAATGTTTGATTAAAGGAAATATCTCTGCACAGTAACACGTGCTGGTAACAAAAGATGCTTTGAGACACAAGGGAGAAATGTTATAAAACTATATAATGGAATGTTAACAAATGTATATCATAGGCAATGCAATATGAAGGGATATACGTAATCGCAGTCATAGGAAGGGAAAAGAATAACAAAATTTTTTGAACTTCAGATAAATTAAAAATTAGAATGGAAAAAGGATTATAAAATATAAAATGTTAATGTAAGCGTAATTATAGTTTATATAAATATAAAGGTATAAACATTAGTCTGATGTCACTAATTTTGGAAAGGGTCTGAAGCAATGGGATATTTCACACAGTATTCATAAGATTATAAACTGGAAACAACCACTTTGTGCGGTAGGGAGGAATTACATAATCAAAGTGAAGATGCATTTCCTAAGACATATTAATCACACTTCGATTCAAAGCCCCATAATCTTTGGTACTTGTGCACCAGGGTATATATATATATATGCAAAAATATGCATATTACTATTTTTCTTAATAGCTGAAATTGAGAGGTCATACAAATGCCCATTATGACAAAATGGGTAAATAAATTATGGCATACTGATACAAGAGGATACTC